AAAAAGAAAGAACAAATCAAGATTTAAGCATTACTCATCATATTGACATTATATGACCATTATTTGATCATATTATATTGAATTGCATGTCCAGCTCAGTTGGTAGAGCATAAGGCTCTTAATCTTGGGATCGTCCTACGATGGGCAATTCATAATTTAGAGGTCTTCCACGGAAACTGCTCTCAACCTGGTGTTGGGGCAGCCTACTATCTTAATTCTCTCTTACCTCATTACATATGAGAACAAGGGTCAGCTAATATATTGAATGCTATTTTGTACATACCATGCTTTTACATGGATTCATTAAAGAAGAAGAAGGTAAACATCTTTTAGGTATGGTTTGAGAGAGACATTATTAGTAATTAGAGTAGAATGTGCATGGCCGTTGAATTGAAAGAATGATGTGTTTTTGGTAGCAGAAGCACGTGAGGGATCACGTGCCATTCACCCAATCCAATATCTAGTCATTTTAGTTTTAGATACATAAATAATAAATCCATATCAAATCTAATAAAAAAGGTGGGGAAAATAATAATATGAAGAAATAAATCCAATTAAAATGTTATAGTTTGGACATTCTTCATCTTGTACAAATTGGTGGTTAAAAGTTTTAGCTAATTGTTCATATTTTCATTTCCCTAAGACAGATTATTCGATAAATCTTAATATTTATAATCTTATTTTTAAAGAAAGTGATAAAAGAATATTTAAAATTGTGCTTTTTTTAAATTGTTGATTAAAATTAGAAATAATTAACTGTTTTGAGAAATACTGTGGGTATAACAAAGCTCAAACATTAAATGTTATATAAATATATATACACACACATGATAAATGGAAAACTGAGGTGGAGTACCAGAATTTTTACCAGCTAGTAAATAGAAACAGTGATTACAGCATCCAGATCAGCTTGTATATTTGTATGCAATATCTTATATGGGACAGAGAGAGGTCCCCAAAAAAAGGAAAAGCCCGATGGATCACTTTCCCAATTGGCTGTACCCGTGGTCCAAAAAGTCAAATCTACAAAACTGGACCACCATGGATAGGTACCCATGCACCAAGACAGAACCTGTTTACAGACTGGAATGAGAAACAAGGATTTACCTGAAAGAAATTTCATCTGCTTGCCCGGTTTAGTGAGGAATAAGCCAGACTCAGAATTTCACACATTACATGAGAGTGACCACCACCAAAGAAAGTGGGACGGTTGGGAGCTTAGATTTTGTTTGTTAAGTAGGTTATGGAACTTTCGACAGAAGATGGTCCCAGGAAATTCCCGTATAAGTACAGTTAGGCTCACAATAAACTTGTCCTAATGTTTGCTCTATTTCTTGCTCAAAACAAATGACAATCCTGTCTTGTCCACATCATTGTCTCAAGAGGTGAAAACGCACCTTATCTCTATATTCATTCAATGCTCAGAATCATTAAATGAGAAAGCTATGGCATTCAGACAGTTTTTATATCGAATGCCTACCTTGCCGATGATAAGGCTCGGAAATTGTGCGTGTCCGTCTTAGCACATGCATTGGCAGCTGTGAGCTGACCCATTTGACAAGTTCCTGTAGAAAGAAAGAAGGGGACATACAATAACAAGTTTATGGGTTCATTGTGTAACCGAAAAAAAATCTTTTTCCCCCAAGAATTACCATAACGAGGGTCTTGGAATATAAAATTGAACCAATAATTCCCTATTAGAAAAGTCACGCATTAATCTAAAAATAATATAGAAAAAATAATAATAAAACAAATATCATTATAAAAATCAAAGGGTTCGAATGAGTTTAATTTATCTTAAGATTGTTATTCAAAATAACAATTTAAGATAAAATCAAACCTGAAAAAAAAAGTTAAGCTTCTTAAAATCAAATCAAAAATAAATATAGATAAAAATACTCTCTTTTTTTATTTTGACCTTATGAAACAGTTTAGACCTATCGCTACACAGTTTACTTAAGATAGATTTTCGACCATTCCTTTGATACTTGAGTTTGTTTGCCGTTGTTTCTAGGGTATAACAACTTGATAATCAAATATCTTTGCCTTCTATTATAATCGAAAAACTAAGAAGGAAATAAAATAAAGGTGTCACTATTCAAAGAATTAAAGAACTGGTTTAACAAAATGGTACGAAGTTCAGACGTTTTATCTTCCACCGGTGGAAAGTGGACGGCGTTCATCGAAAACTTGAGTAAGAGAGTTTCCAGAAGCGCTCTGTGGGAGCTTTTCAACCATCATGGAAAGGTTCGCAAGGTTTTCATCCCCTCTTTGAAGGTCAACGTGACGCAATATTAACCTTACGCAACCGCCCGTAACAGCCGCAATCCATTTAAAAATCACGCCCGCAACAATCGCAACATGTTACTTACATAACGTCCGCAACATCCGCAACCGCGACGCTATTTTATACTATGTTAACAGGATAATAAAATCCTCTTATGACATCGAGTTTATTCAAAGGGCGCTTTTTAACAACGGGATTTAGGTTAAGATTGCGAGATGGGGTTATGCTAAGAATTCTTGCATCCTTACTTTCGCGTCCGATTAAGAGAAAAGAGAGACTTGATTAAATAAACATGATGAGTTGATCTATTGGTTTGACTTGCTAGCCCCTCTTGCTTCAGAAAATGGGATTCTTTTGGTCTTTTGCTCAGTTTCGCTCTTAGGAGTTCCTCTGAAATGCTGGCAAGATACCTTTTTCTCTTCCTTAGCAAACCATTGGGGTTCTCTGGTTTGTATCCAGGAAACTACCAGCAGGAAGGAAGACTTAACGATGGCGAAGATGTTAGTAAGGGTGGAGAGTCCCTTTATATTCCGAGGTCTATTTCCATTGTTTCAAACGGTAGATCACATGTGATAAAAATTAAGCTGAAAATGGATTCAATGAGCTTGGAGGTTAATCAAGATCAGGAACAAGAAGGAAATGATGCAGATATCTGGAACGAAGAGTCATCGGAAAGTGATCGGAGCGATCATCGATTTCTTTAAGCGGCCCAGAAAGTCAAATCGTCTTACTTGGAAACTCAAGATAGAATTGAATCGTGACATTTTGGTAGGTGGACAAGTGGCGATCCAGGAAATGAGACAGTTTAATTCCTTACGTGGCTCGAGGAATCCATCTTTGGTGTCAGAAAGGGAAGAGGCAAACAACAATATGGTGTAGAATGTCTATCAAGGTGTATTGGATGATATAAATGGGGATTGTGAAGTTCAAGATCCCAATTTGAACCAATCAGCTGGTTCTATACCTCTAAATGATGATATTAATGGGCCTGATCGCAAGAATGGAAGGGAAGTTTTAAACCCTAACCATTAATCACTTCGATTCATTAAGGGAGGAAGTATATAAGTTTTTCCAGTCCAATGTCTCCACTAAGTTCAGCAGACAATAAAAAATTATTTCCTTTATTAAATAATATATCAAAATAAATAAATAAAAAAGAAGAAATGTATTCACAAGTAGAAGTCCGTCAACTTCTCTAAGCATGTTCATATCCACCATAGTAGGTTCCTTATTCACCTTTAGGTAACGTAGCTCACTCTGCAGGATGCTTACTAACTTCATATTACAAAGGATGGATACTCTTTTTCGGATAATTAAATGCATACTCTCTGTAAAATGAAATGCAGTGGTGCACTGAAGGACCCACTAACCATGTCAAAGAAACATACAGAATCGGTAGTTGCTAACAGTATCAGAAATGAACATTAGATGCCCTCTAGAGATGATTGTAGCATATTATGTTTTCTTTGAAGTTGCAAAAAAAAAAAACAAAATTTCAATAGATTTTTATCAATATCAATCCCAATAAAAACTGGGCCTCGCATATACATGTACCACTGAAACTGTAAGCTTCTGTTACAGAACCAGGTTCTATGGATAAAAGACAAAAAAGGCAAAAGAATAGCACAATTCTGTTTACTAACAAGAGCATTTCGAAGTTGTCAAGAAAATTTTGCAGATAAAGAAACTTAAAAGGATATTAGTGCCAAATGTTTATAGAAGTTTTGACAGGATGTTATTTTACCCTATATAAAGGGATATGCACACTGATTACAGATTTGATACTAAAGGGCATTGCACAAGTGATCCACTCTAGTACACTGCCCAGTCCTTAGAATTAACAAGTAGAATGTTCTAGACATCAGAAATTCTATCAAAAGACAGAAGTTCTGGACTAATTTATGGCTGTTCACTCGTACCCATTCCCACCATGCACCCATCATCGGACAAATGCACATTACACAAATACAAGTCCAAACACATCAGTATCCAAGTTATCCAATTGATGTTCTGCTACCAGGAATACAATCACAAAGCATGTAGAAGTCCTAATATCCAAACTCAAACTCAAGACCAGCCCTGGAATGAAATGATGAATCTATATTCTCCTCTATTTTAAAGTAAAAACACATCTGTTAAGGTGGTTACACTTGATGCAATTAGGAAACAACATTCTCAAACCTTCTTGCAATGCTAGCTTTTAATCAGTTTGACGGCATAGATACACCATCATTTAGTATGTACAAGTTTCGGCTTCCAAATATAAATCTTTAAATAATAAATACTATATTCTGACACATGAAAAATTGTCAGTGTGACTGTTGCAGAGATTGGAAACAATGTTTTAACAAGGCTAAGGGCCTTTGGTAATCTACAAATATGAGACACATGCCGACACATGCAGAGAGAGAGACATGCACATCAACCGAGAAAAAGGTAAGCATACAACTCAACAGAAATAATTAGTATGAGCAACCAGCATATTAGTTGCTTATAGTAGAGGAAAGAAAATTCTTGCAATTGCCTAGCAGTAAAAGTGAAACCTTCTAAAAAGTTGAGGCAGAAACCAGGGTCCTCTAGGAGGAATAAGGTAACACCTGTATGCACATAAAAAGATGAGCATGCAAGAGTATGCAAGTATTTAGGCAAAACATATAGACAAGTATTATCAGTGCTTAAACCTAACTTAGGGGATGCAAGACAAGTAGCAGTTATCTAGATACTTATTATTTCCCTTCTTGATTGAAGCTTACAGAGCTTGGTTCAGATTTTTTTCATGAAAGTTAGTGGACCCCTTGCAAAGAAACTCTCAGGGTCACTTTCTGTAGTGCTAGAATTGAAGGTAACATCCTTTGAACTACCCATTATATGGAGTCCAGAAAAATGGTCACCCCAAATATTATATGTATATTCATCTCTCAGCCTACACTTTCTTTCTGCATTTATGGTTTTCTGGTCAGAGAGTTTAGGTCCGGGAGCTCGAACGCTAGGAGCAATAACAGAGGTTGAAGACAAAGGAAAAGAAGAGCTAAGCATACTGGGGGTAGCCCTGCCTGGACAAGGAGAAATAGTAGAGGGCAAGAAAACAGAATTTGGAACAATTTTCCTTGGCAATGTAGACTGCTCTTGAATCGAAGAATACCAGTTATTGCTTCCATGTTCCCCAGAAACCTTAGGTGCTAACAAGTTTTCTTCAGAAATAGGCCCGAAAACTTGACCTTTCTCACAGCATTGGTCAGCCAATTGGCTAAAAGGATTTCTAGCCTCAGCAGATTGGTCAACGACAGGACAGAGTGACCATTTGCGATTAGGTAATACAGATGTTATAGGGGACAGTGGAGATGAAGGCGTAGAATTTCCACTTTGATTACCTGACACTTCAATCAATTCTCTAAATCCACCTTTTCTTTTCCTTCTCCTTCTTACCTTTTCTTTCTCAATCCTGATTGAGAGGTAACCCGCTTGAGGGGCTTCCTTTATATCAAGATTTTCAGTCACAGCAGATTTTGAGGGCAGAGATTGCAAAGAAGTTTCCCTCTCAGGATCTAAGATACTGTTAGGTTCCCAGTCATTTTCTGGAGTTATTTTAGCATTTGGACCAGTTAACTCCTGTCCCTTGGTCCGAACCTGACTGTTTGGGTATCTACCATTAGATGCATCCTTCAAGGATTTAGTATCCCCAACTGAACTTAACAAACCATCCATTTCAGCTGACACAGGAAACTTGCTATTTCTCTGAATACGGTTGGCACGAGAAGATTTTCCTCCAGTCCTGATTGTAGTGATGGAGTTCTTCCCCTCACTCTTGAAAAAGTAATCTCGGGAGCCCAAGACCATTTCTTGGTGAACAAGAAAACACAACACAAGAAACAATAAAGGAGCAGAAACAAGAATTGCCATAGAGAGTAGGCCTCTGTCAGTGCCAAAAGAGGCTCTACCATATGGCTGAGCGTAGGCCTCTGTCAGTGCATTCTCTCGCATGGAGAACCCAAATCTTATTGGCACAATAGATGAATTCTGAACCAAACTACCAGAACGGAGCTTGATAAAATCATCTTGGCTCCTACATTCATCAACAATTCCTCCTGAGTTTAGAATGAGTTGCATTATAACTGGCTGCTTGCTAGGATTTGTCACTGTGATCCACTTGGAGAAGTGACTTCCATCTTGAACCATTGGAAATAGTAACTCATTCTCATCAAGCACTGTCATGCCACCTGAGGTACCTTGAGTTTTCCAGTTTTGAAGTACCAATTCATCAGCTTCTGCTGCCTGCAACACCAACATATGACATCCTTAGCTACCGTGAATCTTGTAGGAAAATTGATTCTTTTTAGACTTAATGATGATATTATAAAAGTCATCAAGAGCGTGTGCATGTAAGAATGCATGAAAAGAGGAAGGAGATAAAACAAAATTAGTCTGACAGAGAGGGATGTGTGGATGCATGATGATAAACGTATAGAAAATAATAAGCAGTTTTGATGATCCAAGAACAAATTCTCATTTGATAGGTCGTTGGTAAGCATATAATGATCTCATATATCTTCCTAACCTAGGTGCTATCCTCCAGGAACTTTACAGGATAAAGATTCTACAACATATGCATGATAAGTAAGAATTTAAGTGAACAAAAGAGTGGAGTATCAGTCACCAAAATAATACAATATCTAAGAAACAACTTCAACGACAAAATTATGTCATTATAACTAAAATAAGCAAACCTTGGTCCATGATGCCAATTGTATGCCGTCACCAAAGGACCCCATCCATGCAATGTCAAATTTAGCCCTTTCAGAATGATGCTTATAAGCCATGGATGGATCTTTTTTATGTTCCATACAAATTTGGAGTATATCCTCACAAGAAACTTCAATTTTAGGGCTTATAGATTCATTCGTCATTATAAGAAATTTACGAATACTGATTAGGTTGGATACTTCAGAAGCTGAATCATGATTTTCATCGGGCAGTTTAGTGCAAGTAATAACAGCAACCTTAGTAACAGCACCAGGGAAGAGTAGCAAACCTTCCATGTGCTTGATATGGAAAACCTTTGTATTTGCAACTTCACTAATCTTGACAACATTCAGCACATAAGGAGCAGAATTTTTCAATGAGATGGCCACAAAAACAGCTCCATTACCATCGTATGGCACCATCATAGCATCAAGAGAAACTGAAACAGAACTTGCAGGATCATCGTAGGATGATTTCCTGTGCAAATCAGCTTCAAGAGGAACCATAACTATATCAACCATGTCTTGTGAAGACCTCAACAGCTGCATACAGAACGCACCTAAAATTCTTCCTTTTGATTCAGGGGATAAATCAATCTCTATGATGGTTTCACTGCTTTTTGGCTTAATCACCCAGTTCCTGTTCAGACTCATAGCACCAAGTGGAAAACCAGCATTACCACTATTCATGACCAACCAATCGTCGGCACTGAGCAAGTTGTGCTCATTATAGCCTTGGAAATTTTCTATGCTACAAACTGCTCCAGTATGTTGGGTAGTGTTCCCTAGAGAAATTGATATCCATGAAGTTATTTCCTCCACATAGAGGGTCACATCAAATGGATTGAACAAGGACAAATTCTTACTCAACTCTTGACTAGAAGAAATACACAGGCCGATCAATGCCTGAATCTCATATGGGGACTCAACAGCAAACCCCTTAGCCTGAACCAGGAAACCACCAGAGCTTGTTTGCAAGATAAGATGAGCTGACGTGAAGCCCACCCATCTAGGTAAAAATACAAAACATATTGAAGCAACTTCACCAGGTCCTAGCAAAACCTCACTAAAATTACAAGGATAGAACTGTAGATTAGTACTGAATGGTTCATAGATGTGTAAAATGCTCTCGTTGCATGTATTAGCTACAGTCAAGTAACCCACTGAAGGTAAAAATAAGTATTTGTGTCCCCAATCCATTACAGGAGAACTTATATACATGTTTGGTGAAGGCAAACCATGAAAAGAACTTTGCTTGGTAGCCACTTTGTTTCTTTCCATCCTAATAGTTCTACTCTTCTGACTGAGTAAAGGTCCTCTACTTGATGAAATATCATCTTGATTAGCATCATCTGTGAGAATGGATGAAAACTCATGGATACCAGCTCTTGAGTATATAGAACATGAAACTATCCTTCCATTTAATAATTTAAACATACTGTGGCTAGATAACCGACTTTTGTTAGTTTCCAGTCCTCTAAGATTACTTTGTTCTGTATGAGATGAAGCATTATCAGACTTACTCCTAGAAACTTCTGAACAGCCTACTTCATCTGTTCTCTGTTTAGTTGAAATGCCAGGCATTGTTGAAGGAAAACAGCATGAATTAGGATTAGTGCAGATAGTCTCAACACTAAAATGAGTCATACAAGTTCCTGTTTCATAGCCAGAATTTGTAAATCCAACATTAGTTTCTTGAAAACCAACATGATCATTATCTCCATAGCAGTCACGCCCCTCATGTTCCTCCGGTTTTTGCATCCAGTTTATGGAACATGGTTCACATGTAGTTAAGTGAAAAAGGGTATATGACAGAACCGAGAAAAGATGGAATACTTTAGCCAGTTGAAACATTCCCCTGAAAAAAAAATCAATTACAAAATGCTTAGTAGAAAGGAAAAATAGTTTACAAATTATCAACAACTAAAAACCATCAACTAAGCAGTAACCAATCAAATTTACTGCTCGGATACTCTTCAACAGAAAATAGCGGAAAAACATAATTACAGCCTCAAATTTCTCCATTTTATGAACATTTTATCCAAAAAAAATTGTGGAAAAACAAAACTATTGCCTCGAATAAAAGGCCATTTATTACACAATGAAAAATATTAGTTAACTAACGAAAGAGCGGAAAACGTGGATTTCAACTTAAGAAAAAAAATTAAAATCCAATAAACAAATAAACAGAGCAGTATGCCGGCGCGATGATAATACTTCTAACTTATAAATTATAGGTGGTGCGATTAATATTCTTCCTATACTAGTAATTTAAAAATAGTCAACAAATTTTATTCTGTTTACAACAAGTTTGGATTTTCTTTTTTAAAAGGCAAGAAATGTATGCTTTGACCATTAAAAAAATATTTTGCTATTGTTTAAAGCAACTTAAACAAAATCATGATGACCGTACGACAACGTTTGAGGTAACACGATTAAAAATTTCGTCCGCTGGCAGTAAAGAAGTAGCTTATTAGCCAAATAAGCAATCGAAAATTCAAGGAGTCTTAAGCGGAAACTAATAGAGTAATCGAAGTTGAAGTAATAATAACAGATAAGGGAGATAGAATCGGATGTGTTTGTAAAGATAGAAAGTGAGAGAAAATGGGAAGGAAAGTGTGAGAAAGTTATAAGAGTGTAACCGGAGAGGAAAAAACATCTGAAATTTCTTCTTCTTCTTGTTCTTCTTCTTCTTTTTATGGTGAATTTATTTTTTTAGGGCTTTTTGTCTGAATTTTGAGGTCGATAAATACGGAAAGCTTAGACCAGAATGGCGCCTGATAACAGCGAATGAATGGCCGCCGAGAAAGAAGACTCCAAATGACTAGATTGTCCATACTCCATACAAAAGATTCCATAAAACCGTCACCATTTAAAGGATTCGAATTAGATTCCGACAAATGTTTTAGGTTCAGATTGAAATGAGCGGACAGCGCAGTCCAAGTGGGCTTAATTTTTTTATACTTTTTAGTTTGAATATTTTTTACACTTTTCTAATAACTTAATTATTTTTAAATAATTAAATTTAATAAAGAATTATTGATGTCTCAATCTCATAATCGAATAAACAAAATACTTTCGTGTTTGGAATATTGAAGAACGCCTTAAAATAATATAATCAAGTCTGTAATTCATGTGTTTTCCATTACGTTAGTATTTTTCATTTTATAATTGGATTTAATTTATTTTGTATCAGTGCAGTCTTTGATTATTTATTAATTTGAGTAAAATAAATAATTTTTCGTGTTAATGTGCTTTTATAATTTAACCAAGGCGCACTTTTTGTTGCCTACTTCCAATAGAAGTTGGCCAGCTTATAGTGATTGGGAGTTGTTGAGCGCGAAAAATGAAACGGCTTTGGCACGTCGAGGTGCGAGCCCCACCGCAGTCGCACGGTCATGCTCCTCACGCACACTCTTGTCCTTGCACTCGTCCTTGCACGGATTCATATTTCATGCATAGGTAGATTGCTTTAGTGAAAATATATTACCTTGGCTTAAAATAAACTGAATTTTTTTAAGAAAAAAATAAAGTAAACTTAAGAGATACCTATATGAAATGTAATTTTTTTGGATAAGCAGAAATTTATTATCCAAAGAAGAAGGTTCAACAACAAAATCCCAATTAGGAGTATAAACAACTACTTGCAACAAAAAATGTTAGTCTATACCCCAATAATTACATAGGATAATATTAACACTATCATTTCTATTAAATTTTTTGTCGCTGAGCTTGATTCGAACAAGGTCTTTGATGATCTTTAGGACTTGTTCAGGTAATCTTGACTCTCTTCTGAAAATTCTTTTATTTATTTCTTCCCAGATGTAGTAGATGTAAGCGGTCCAAGCTAGTTTGAGAAGGGTGATAAGAAGAGATTTACCCTTCCATTCAAGAGAAGCCCATTCAATCCTTGTTTCCCAAGTGTTGTGCATGTTGCGCATGAGAGTAAGACTCATGATAGAGTTCCACAGTGAAGTAGCATAAGAACAATCCACAAATAGATGGTTTCTTATTTCAAGAGACTCATTACATAATAATCATAAATCATCTGAAGCAATTCCCATTCTAAAGAGCATGTCCCGAGATGGAATTCGATCCATGATAGTCATCCATGAGATAATACTTAACTTAGGAACGTGGAGAGGAAACCATATATTTTTATGCCATGGAACCTTTGGTTTGTGAACTCTCACTTCCTCTCATAAGTCTCTAGTCTTCGATAATCCAGTGTTCAGGAGAGGGAGGACTTCACCCCTTAGCTTAATAAGTTTCTTGAAACATCAGTTATAAGAAGAACATTCACTAATGACAGTGAAGTTACTGCTTTTAATAACATATCAGTGAATCCATGCTACCCAAAGTGATCATTCACCAGCAAGTAATTTTCGAATAAGATGGGCTATGCAAGTTTTGTTCCATGATATGATATCTTCTAAACCGATACCACCTTTAGATTTGGGACAACATATTTTATCCCAACTGATCCTTGCACCTGAAGCAGCCTTATCTGCACATTTCCAAAGAAATCTAGAGCAGAGTTGATCAAGATATTGCCTACACCAGAAGTTAACAACACTGTATAAAACAGTTTTAATAAGCTCTAGTCTTCCTGCATAACTTAGGAATTTTCCAAACAGTGACGAAGCCTTAGTTTAATGTTGTCAATAAGAGGCAGACAATCATTTTCTATTAGCTTTCTAGTAACAAGGGGAATACCAAGATATCTAACAGATAGAAAACCATGCTTGAAACCAGTAGCAGATTTAATAATTTCCAGATTTCTAGAAGAGATACCAACAGAATACAATTTTGTCTTGGTAATATTAAGTTTAAGGTCAGACAAATCATAGAAATGATTAAGCACAGTCATGACTCCAACAATTGATTCCATATTTCCTTTGCAAAAAATTAAAAGATCATCTGCGAAAGATAAATGAGTAATGCCAATTTTTTTGCACTTAGGATGGTACCCAAATATTCCTCTGGCAGCAAATATATTGAGAAGATTAGAAAGAATATTTATTGCTAGCACAAATAAAATTGGTGATAAGGGATCACCTTGTCTTGTACCTCTTTGACCCTTAAAGTAGACTATCAAACTTCCATTAAAGGAAATGAAATATCTGAAGCTTCAAGCCACCTTATGAAGGTGAGAGGCATCCTAATAGCATAAAGAATAGAAGTTAAGAAGTCCCAGTGGAGAGAGTCAAAGGCTTTTTGAAGGTCAATCTTGAGGGCACACCTTGGAGAAATATTTTTCCTTCCATAGCCTTTCACCAATTCTTGGGCAAGAAGAGTGATGTCGATAATAGACCTACCTTTCGCAAAAGTTGTTTGGTTAAGGGATATTAAATCAGGTGTAACACCCCAATCCGTATCCGACCCGGATCTGAGTCTGAGGTGTAACATTAACCTTTCAAAGCATTTTCCTTTACAAACTAATAAAAATTTAAATTCAAATTTCAAGAAAATAAATATTTTATATTAATTAATCAATTTGTTTACAAAACATATCAGAGCATATTCAACTCAATATATTAGTACATACCAACTATGTTCAAAATAACAAAATACATCTAAACATCTCTTTTCTGATCTGAACTTTGTAAGGGATATGTTGACCTGTCTTGCTCCACTTAGCTTTTCTTCTCGCTCTTCGGAACCTGTGAAACAATCACACGCTATGTCTATGACTTAGTGAGTCATAAAAAGTAATCTAATATAATTTACATACACTAACCATGCATGAATAATTTTTGCTATCATAACCATGCAACTCATATACTTTTCATTCAGTAAGTATATACATACATACATGTCATCATTTATGTTTCTACCATATTCCTACCCTATTATCATTCATATTTCTTATCTCTTGTTCGTATAATCTCTTATGCTTTTATCATATATCTTATAATTTATACTTATCACAAATGCAATCACTCATAACACACATATAACAATTCATATCACAAATCATATATAACACTTACATTATATTCATAATTATCTCTTAATTAGCCCATGTGCACATGTGAGAACTATAGATATGTGAGTCTATTGAGGTTGTGCACTACGCTGTCACCACAGTTCGTATAAATGTCCCGAATGACCTATCCAGAGGTCATAAAGAACCTCGACAACTGTCCATAGGTCCCAAAGAACCTAGGTAAATTGTCCATATATTCCTTAGAACATAGGTAATCCTGTCCATATGTCTCGAAGGACATAGGTAACACTGTCCATATGTCTCGAAAGGCATAGGTAACCCTCGACTCTTAGCATGCTAACTATACCTCTAGCTCTCATTTCACATAACATGGACATTCTCTTTCATATTATTTCCTATATTCAATTATCATTATCTTCTATCACATACAAAATATATATGTAAACATCTATTTCATATCGTTTAACATGCATCACATATACATGTAATCACGTAGATCATGTCTCATAGCTTATATCATATCACATATGTTCATGGGTACATCCCATAGCATATAAAATAACATATAAACTTATTCATGTATTCATGTGTATACTTTCATATAGTCTGTATATCAATGTCATATAACTTATCTCATAACTTATTTGATATTCTTATATATTCTCATCTTATAACTTATATTACTTATGCATGTAACCTTATGACTTATTATCAAGTAACTCAATTAATATTCCTATATTGTTTCATAGATCTTTATCCTACAATACATATAACACATTCATATCATATCGCTTACCCTTGAATTATCTTATGTTTACAGATATCATATTATTTCTTTAACTTGCATTTTAAATCACATGTTCCATCTTTATCATATAACTTATGAGTTATTCTTATATTATCCTATAGA